GGCTCACATAGGGGCAATGGTGGCCAATTCCCCTTCCTGCGGCTAGTGGGCTGGACCACCAGGGCCCATGTGCAGTGCTGGCCCTGCTGCAGGCAGCTCCTGCTCCAGGAATACAAGAAGTATAGGTGAGCAGTAGGGGAGATCCTGGGGTGAGGGACCCAGGCAGGAGAACCTGGCCAGTGGAGGAACAGCTGCATCTTAGCCCAGACCAACTGAGGGGCTTGCTCCTTGGTAGAGTTGGAGGCTGGGCAGAGACTACCAGGGTCAGAACAGTGTACAGCACATGATGGCCCTCCTTTGTGGCCTCCAATGTCCTGGTCACCAAGGCAGCCTGCCATTCCTGAGCCTCCTTGACAGCCAGAAGCCTGTCCCAGAATTCCTGGTTCACCCCATCCCTCTCCCACTCACGTGCAATATTCTCTGTTCACCAGATTTGCGAGTCCACCAGCTGCCCCTCAGCCACTGTGACCAGACAGGCCAGCATCCACATCCAGTCCTGGGTCCTCTACTGCCAGACCAGGCACATATGCAGGGCCTCAACCAAGGCTGGCAATGACCTTGAAGGCACCTCCCAGGTAGCAGCTGGTGCCTCTCCTCCATGTGCAGCTGCAGGACCTACAGAGCCAGGAGAGAGAAGCTGTTTGTGAGAGTTTGCAACATTTATGAAATAACATGCTCTATATACCAGGGGGCTTTGTGTAGCCCAGCCTAAGATCAGGGGTTGGGCATGCACAGGTGCCCATGGACCATGATAAGTCATCCAGGTAGGCCCTGGCACAGGTGCCCACTAGTTGAGCCCCCCATCCCTGCTCACTCTGTATGGGCAAGTGGACCACTGCAGGCAGCCTGTCTCCTGCACTGCTGCCAAGCCCACAGCACCCAGGCTCAGGGGGCAAAGGGATCTCAGCTGGCTAAAACAGGGAGCTGGTGGTGCCCCCATGCTCCCCCCCAGGGGCCTCTCTGTGGTGGTGCCCTGGGGTTCACTTCCACTATTTGCCAGCCTTGAACCCCAAGCATGCCCCAGATGAGAATGTCCTGGGTGTGCTGTAAGGAGCTGTTTGCTCCCAGCAGTGTCCTGGGGTGCAAGGGCAGAAGATCCCTCTGGGAAGGAGCTGAAACTGATGAGGGATGGCAGTGGTATGGCTGGCCTGGCCTCCTGGGTGAGGCAATACACCTGGAGCTGGTGGAGCAGGCACTATCCCAGGCTGCTAGAACTATTTAACAAGCCTGGGGTGAGACTAGTGGCAGGATGGGCTCCTAATGTCCTAAGGCCCCTGACCCACTGATGCTTTGTCATGGCCACCAGGCTGCACAGAGGCTTGGGCAGGCTGCCCATGCTGAAATAGACAGCATGGCTCTAATCAGGTTCCAGGGGTGCGAGGATGTCATCCAGCTGCCACATTAAGGGCATGGACTTGCGGGAGGCCCCAACCAGCAGTTGTGGTTGGGGAAAATGACCTACTGTGCCTGCAAGGTTTTGACCTTTATGCAGCACTGGTGTGCCAACCACTCCTGCATGTGGCCTGACAGGCCCTCATATATGTGCACATTGGAGTTCCTGCTCCGGGCAAATTGGTTGAGGACCTGGGCCTCACTCCACAGCACCATAAGGTCTGTGGTTGCCTCCTGGGACCAGTTCCAGCCCCAGGAGGCAGCATGTGCCATCACAAACAACACCAGCATGGTTCCCTCAATGGCTCACTGATCTTCCCTGCAACAGTTTAGGTGCTGCCAGTCCTGGGCAGGTGCCTGCAGTTTGTAGTGCAGGGACACAGAGCAGGACAAACAGGCATGTGACAACGATGTGCCAGGGACCAGTGGCAGAGTCCAGGCAGGCTGCTGCAGCTGGCCTGGGGCTGCTGGAGTAGGACCCAGTGGCCAGAGGCTGGCTGCAGGTGGCCCAATTTGCTGCTGGGCCTTGCAGCTGCCTGCAGCACAGCGTGACAACATGAGTCAGGCAGCCATGCAAGGATGGTGTGCCAAGGACCAGCAGAGCAGTGGGGTGCAGGCAGGCTCCTGGAGCTGGCCAGGGGCCTCTGCTGTGCAACACAGTGGTAGCAAGTGGCCCAGGGCCCCAGTGTCCCCACTGTCTTTCAAAGGTCAGAGGCTGCAGCAGCAAAGAGCACCTCCCTCAGCCCTGGAGCTGGGGAAACTCTCATCCCCATGGCCCTGCGGTAGCCTACAGGTGGCCTCCTGGTGGTGGGGCTGACTGGGAGCAAGTTTGCTCCTCGTCAATGTCTATGCGTACATTACTGTGCAGTAACCACTCCAGAGTTAAATCAGCTACTTGCATTTGCAGGTACCAAACTAACTCTGGAGTAAAGGAAATTTTTGTGTGGTAAGTATCTGCACGTGCAGATGGTGATGCTTACTGTGCAGTAACTTGATCTATTGTATAGTGAAGCATTTCTTGTAGACATGGTTCTTTGAGTGGCTCCATCAGGGCTAGTGGTACTCTGCATTTTAACAGTCAGTCATATAGGCTGTACCTGTGGATCTGGTTCTAACTTGAGCATTCTCTCTATGTATTTACCTCCCTCAAATACATCTCTGAACTCCTGTAAAATATCTGCCAAGGACCATGCTGTGCTTTCTCCCCCCTGTCTCATGTGAAGGATATTCTGGCTGCCTAATAGTAGACAACATTCCCTAGTGTTACACAAGTTGCCAATTGCTCATATCACGAGCAAGACCTTATGAGGGAGGATAAGGCAAGTTGCTGTGTTTACTAAGTGCTTAATACATACACACACACCCACACCACATTTATACCCCAGTTTCTGTTCTGCACTGTTATATGTTACCAGTCTTATCAGTACTCAGATCAACTTAGTGGCCAGCCAAGTTGATCACAAGTAGGAGCCAGGCTCCTGCCAGTCCATCCCGTCAGACAAACAGATGCTCCACCATGACGTGCAGAACAAGACCCCAAATTAATCTGTTTTGCCCCATCTTTTATAGCCTTGTCAACTCACCCAGTCTCTGGGCTCTTGCTGGCTTATCACTGTTCTTCCTTGAAAGTTGATTGTCCTTGTTCTCTCCCTGTTCTGAGGCAGATTGTTCTTGTCTGGTCTTTTATCTGTCTGCAATCTTCAGCCAGTCGCCAGCTGATGTTTTCCTTTTCCACAAACACACTCTCACCCATACAGCATACAAAGGTCAATCACTTATGTTGAGCTACAGAGCAATAAAAAAAATGGAGTTTAAGATAATGCAAAACTCAAGAAAACACATAAGTTTAAAAGCAATAGGTAAAAAGTCTATTTCTATAACACCAGTGTCCAAATACTAATTCCAGGAAGTACTATTTTATATTTCCTGGAGTTTGGATTGATAGTCTGCATTTACACACTGGTTGTATAGTTGCTTGTAACAGGTAGCTGGATCACCCAGCTCCACCTGGCTCAAACCAGTCCTTGAGCCAATCAATCCAGTCCCAGGAACACAATCTTTCTCTGGGCTCAAAACCATAAGCTGTAATGCCCTGGGTTCCTCTGCTTTCCAGGGCTCAGCCAGAAACAAATCAATCTAAAATAACATGCCCTTAACCTGGTCTCAGCAACACAGGCTTCAAAACCCTGGTGTTAATCTGCACCACAGGGTTCAGTTGCAAATTTCAAACAACCAAAAAACACACCCAGCATAGACTGCCTCTCATCCTGTAGTCTTCCTTCCAGGAGCCCTCCCTCTCCATCTGGCTATCTGCCCCTCTAGCACCTCCCCCTTCCCGCTCTTTTATTTCCCATCAACCAGTCACTTCCCCTCATGACTGCCTGTCAGCTGAGGCCCCTTAAATGTGCAGCTTGTTGTCAGCTGGCTAACCGATCCAGGCTACCAGCCTGAAGTCTGTTACATTGGAGTTTTTTACATCACCAGTATCTGCTCACATGGTTGTTCAGCAAGATTTTTTTCTGTAGAGAATATATGTTCAGAATATTTAAATCTGATGAAGTCACAGAGAAAACGTCATCTTCCTTATCAAGTCTCAATGTCCTCCCCTATTGCACATATCTGGCTTTATTTCTTCTGGGGTTATTGCAGCACTGGGACACAAAATTGTTCTGTTTCCAACAGTCTAGGCATCTTTGCCTATAAGACAGGCACTCCTTCTGTTTTTCATGCTGCTTCCCACAGTATCAACACTGAAGACTGGAGATTATTTTTATTTGGCCCAACTTTGTTCTGGTTCTCGAGGCCCTTTAACCCTGTGTTCCGCACCAGCAATTGTTTTGGTTCTTTCCTTAGATAATTCAGAGGTGCATGAAATTAGCACATATTTGTCCAGAGTCAGATCAGCCTCTTTCAATAATCTCTCCCTTAGCGCTGTGATCAGATATCCCACACAATTCTGTCTCTAGTAAGGGAGCCTGTTTTGATCACAAAATTGTGCATCCCAAAGTTTTCAGCTCTGAAATATAATTATCTATTCCTTCTTCTGGATCCTGATCTGGGTTAAAAACAAACAAACAAACAAACAAAAAATAAATAGTATCTTTCTGCAGTCTCATTTCTTGGGGGGGGGGGCCGGGGGGGGGCACCGTAATTACCAAAAGCCTCCATTAGCTGCTCTAATTTATTGGACCCTTCAGGTAAGTGCTGTACTCACTTCTTTGTAGGGTGACCAGCCATCCCTAATTGGGCGGGACAGTCCCAGAATGGGAACCTCGAGTCCCGGTCCTGGGCTGCATGACTCAGGGACAGCATGTATCCCAGCTTTGCAGTGTATGCAGGGATCAGGAAATGGCAGGTTTCCCTTTGCAGGCTGGCAATATTCCATCCTGCAAGGGGCTGCCAGGAGTGGGATGTAGGAGTGCCTCATGCACACATATGCCCGCACACATGCGTGTGGCCAGGAAATGCAGTCGGGAAGCATGAAGAGCAGCTCTCTTCAAATAAGTCCATGGGTGGGGGGGGGAGTCTGGGGGGCCAGGAGTGGGGGCAGATCGAGGCCCTCCCAGTGAGAGAGGCAGGGGCTGGGGGTACTGCCCAGCCTGTGGGCTTAGGGCTCCCTGACCTGCTGCCCTGCCCCTGGGAGCCCCATGCTGGTTGCGCCCCCATGGCAAGGTGCTCCATGCTTTCCTGGCAGCAGTGGGGGCAGAAGCAGCATGGAGTTGGAGTTGTGCCCCCCACTGCTGCTGGGTAGACAGATGGCATGTGGCCAGTGCAGGGCTCCCGAGGGAAAGGCAGCAGGGTGGGGAGCCCTGAGCCTGCAGTGGGCAGCTCACATATGCCCCCAACTCCTCTTGGCTCTGCTCCAGCCATGCCAGCAGCAATGGGGGGAGGGAGGAGGGAAGGTGGGCATGTGTCCCATCTTCCCTACTGAAAGGGTGGTCACCCTGCTTCTCTGCCTTTGTTGCAATAAGCTAATGGGAAAAGTTTAGCCTTATTTAATCAACTTTATCCACAAAGTTCAGCTCTTCCTTTTGTTGCTTCCATGCTGCTGCCAGGTTCTTTGACTGAAAAGCCACATGTTCAGGGGTCTGAATCTCTCCATAATGCCTTCTCTCTGCTGTGTGGTTGACTCTTTAAATAATGTACTTCACTGTGATTCTCATCCACTGCCACCATGTTTCTCACACACAACTGTGTGTTCAGCACTGAGCCACAAGATTCAGTGTGTGCGCAGAACTATTGCAAAATTCTCCAGGCACATTGAGTTTCCTGGTGTCAGTCTCCAAATTATCCCCACTACAACTTGTGTCCTAAGATGCAGGACCTGTAGGTTGTTACAGGGAGCAGATTGGGGTGTCAAGTCCTGGGAAATACAGAAAGAATTCCTGTCTATGTACACCATGATAATTGCACAAAGATGACAAACTGTGAAGTGCCACAGGGGTTACTTAATAGTGTGAACATGTACATTAATTACGTCAAACAATTATAAATCAGGCTGTTTGGGTGGATGCTGCTGACAGATTTATCAATGTTTCTTTACACAAGCCCCACATTTTCTGTGCAAATAATATTTGCCTATATGAATTCAAAGTTTTAAGAGTGCAAGTAATACCACATGCAAAATTCTACATGTAAAGCAAGAAGTCCGTTTTGAAACTTTGCTTCAGAGATCAATAAAAATCTCAAGAGTCAGATGAATCAAGTTTTAGGCTCAAAATCTGTCAATGATATGCTCTAATAAACATACTTTGTGAAAAATTCTTTAATCTCTGCAGACCAATCAACTCCTCATGCGTACATGTCGTTCCATGAATTACATGAACATCCTGAACTCTTGTTTCTCTTGAATGAATCACACTTCTAACTTTCATATATCTCTATTTTATGGTTTTCCAATTGTTATTTATTCCTTTTAAAAGTGCTAAGGTGATAGGTGCCTACAAACTATAAAACATACGATATAGCTTCATCTTAAAATGTCAGTAGATCAGAAACTTGAGACTTATCTGCCACACTTCCTTCCTCACCTAATTGTATGATATTCTTTATCTTGAAATACTTTGATTTAGCATATTATGCAACTTAAAATTCTATTTGTGCTGATCCATATTCCTACCCACCAAAAGAATGCAATTGGCAAAAGGAGTGGATATATTTCAGCCAGTTCTGGGAGCAACTTGCAATATCAAAAATAGAGATTCACAGTTAGAGAGACTGTAAAGTACTTTGCTGTTGTTTCTTCCCCTCCTTTGGGATTGGCTTTACAGGCTCCCAAAGGTATATAGGCAATAACTTTTTGAGAGGGAATTATCTGGCCGAGGGAAATGAAACAGCAGGTGTTTCTTTTTCAGCCTGCATATCACCACCGTATTGTACTTGGCATGCTGGTAAGAATGTTAAAGGTGCCTTTGAACCCAGATGCCCCATGAAGCTTTGCAGTTGCCACTCGCTACCTGATTTCTGTCTTTTTCTTTTGCCATATTCTGTTCCTATCAACTATTTCTGCAGCTTTCTCTCTTTTTAAATTCTTCAGCATTTCAGCTTTTATTGTATTCTTTTTATTTATATTTTGCACTTTGTTAGGTCTCATTTTTAATTCCCCACACTTTTTCCTGAATTCAGTAACCAGCGAGATGTGGCCAATAAGCAAGAGTGATGTAACAGAGAAAAAGATAGTTTCCATATATTTCAGCATAAGACAGGAAAGAGAGAAAAGACTAGAAAAGCTTTTTTTCTTCTGGGAGGGTACTAGCTCTCTTTTCACTGCAGAAAGGCAGGACTGTACATCCCAGGAGAAAAGGATGGTAACTTATAGAGAGAGGAAATACAGAGAGCATCTGGCGCTATGCATTTTCAGTTAAGTGAAAATGTCTGAGTCAACAAGTACCTTTTAACATCCACAGAAATGCTGTTCATTCTATTACAATATATTATAAGCTAATATAAAGATAAGATAATATATAAAGATACATTATAAACTAGATACAGCTAAGCATTATCCCTTCTTCAATGGCTGGGTACATTTCTAAGATTAACCACTTTGCTGTTACTCCTATTTTCAGTAGAAGCAGCCAACAAGGTCATCATATTCCCTGGATGCAGAGGGAAGCCATCAAAACAAGGCCCTGGGAATCAGATTTCAAAAACTGCATTGTCTGTTTAACCATATCTCTCACACAAGTAGAAAACAATATCCAGTGCAAGTTATCAAAAAAAAAAAAGTTGACTGTTAGAAAGTTAATCCTATCAAGTGCTGCCCAGTTTTAAAAAGGGTTATTAAAACTCAGAGTCTACAATACACTGCCCACCAGGGAAACAGTTTCTGGATGTAACAGGGTCAACCTAGGACAAAAACATAAGACTGAAAAAACAGCATTTTACAAAACCTTAGGTCAAGGAGTTTCCATCATTTAGAGGTGCTGGGTGGGGGGAGGGCAGGGGACTGAGGGAAGGGAAGAGATTACAGACTCATGGCCATTTTTGTGGGGAAGGGGCAGGGGTGGGGGGTAGATGTTCACACCGGCTTGAGAATATAGAATTGTTAAATTAAATCTGAAAAGTGAAACTGACTTCAATAAAAACACAAAAGTGAATAGGTGAATAACCATTTATTTTCATTATTTATGCCCAATCCAATACAAACAGGAAACTATGAAAGTTAATGGAGTTAGTGGTAAAATATATTTGATTTTTCAAATTCTTTGTTATAATATAATACATGAATAAGGCTCTGAAGTCTCTCTAAATATGCATGTCCTAGAACTAATTATCCACTAAAAGCT